GCTAAAAGAACACATTGAATTAATTGTCATCAAAATGCCTTGAAAATGTGTTCTGTTTTCTTTTGACTTATTTTTTTAAAGAATTGAAGCAATAGTTTTTTCATGTACCACAGAAAATATTCTTTAATTTACTCTTTGATAGCTTCATATGTGTATATAGCTCATTTAGTAGTTTCCACTCCTATTAACCTCTCAGCCCTTTCCCTCTTCTGATGAAACCCTTTGTCTCAAGAAATGTCCCTCCAGATTTGGCGTCCCCCCTGCCCCCTGTGTATGTGTGTGTATGTCCCATTAAAATTAATCAGGGTTGCTTACATGAGATGGGTGGGTGCTATGTACTGGAGCATGGGCTACTTTTACTGGGTACACTGTTGAAGAAAACAATATAAACACCCACATCAACCATTAGCTGCTCACAGTCTGTTAGTGAAGGGTGAGGTCTCATAGGCCTCTTCCTTCTCCCTGCCATGAAAATTTTTACAATAAAATTCAAATGGAAAAGAAATACGTCATGTCAACAACAAAAATAAAATCAGATATTAATTATCCTTTCTGTAGGAACTTCTTTCACTACTTAACACCCAACATTTTGTTTCTCTTGAAAACAAGACTATGAGTCTCTCCACTGTCTGTAGCTAACAGAAAGCTTTTGTTTGTGTTTTAGGCAGTCTCTGTAATTTTCTCATATGACATAGGGGAGAAGAAATGACTATAGTAGATTATTAAATAATACAAATTAGATGCTTGTGAATATAAGACTATCAAAGTGGGATGGGACCTGAAACCCACCACCCACCAGTGGGTCTTATGTGTTCTGACTTAAGGGGCCCTTGAGTGCTAAAGTTACTGGAGAGACGCCTTATTTTGAGACATGGTCTCACTATATAGCCCCAGATGGCCTGGAACTCTTTATGTAGACCATCCCAGGCCGGTCTCCATCTCACAGAGATCTACCTGCCTCTAACTTCCCAGTGCTGGGAAAGTAATGAGCCACCATCGCCCAGCCTGAGAGATACTTTTTGAAGAGAAAGTAGGAAGACTAAAGAAACAAAAAACAGAAAAACATATGCCCTATATTTAAAAATGAGCACCGTTTGCTTGGTGGTAATAAACAAATTGTCGTGGTACTAAGAAAAACTACTCCTTTCCTTGGATTCATTCCTCCTGTCGCAGTTGAAAACAGTGAGCACCTGGCATGCAATAGCTCTGCTGAGGGCAGGGACACACTGTCACCCTCTGCTAAGGGCACTCATAGAAACCTTGGTGCCCCACAAAGACATCTCACACAGTCTTTATGCAGAGAACTGGCTTGTTTCATAAAGGCATTTTAAGAAATGTCATGGAATTAACCCCATATTTATATTTTTAAACACAAAGCACTTTGTAAAAATATGTTTTCCAATTGGTAACAGAGGAAAATGAGTATTATTTGTATTCATTTTGGGTGGAAATGCAGAGGGAAGAATGCATTTCTTAAAGGCTTTACCAATGCCAGATTAGGTTTACACCTCACTTTAGATATTTTGCAACTTTTTATTCCTTCCTTTCCCTTATTTCTTTCTAGATTTCCAAAAAAATACCTGAAACTAAGATTGTGCTTTAAAAAAAAAGAAAAAAAAAGCCAAGGATATTTTTACGTCCCCAAGGTGACAAAACTGCCTAAGGGACTCAAGAATACATAGACCAGATTTTTACAGTGTGTTCTGCTCTGCATCTTTAAGGAGGCAATTAGTTATCAGTTATTCTTGTGTATTAGTGACTGCCCCATTTTCTCCATAACTCAGGTGATACAAAGACCCTGGAAGAGGACATATTTTAAGTGGGACATTTATTACTGAAAAACAAAGGTACGATTCTAACTTAAAGTCACTGGGAAAGCCCTTTGTACAGACGCAGTCGGATTTGACACAGTGAAACACTGGCCTAGCTGTTCTGAACTCTCATTGTCATTTCTAGCCAGGCCATCATTAGCTGCAAACCAGAGTTAAAGAACCTGATAAGACTCCTTGAACCTGAGAACTTTATCTATTTAAAGCAACCCAACTCAAGCTAGCACCATGTTAACTTTGCAACCACATGGAGACAGTAAGAAACGAAAATGTGAATGGTGAAAGCTTTGTAGTGTCTATACCTCAAAAAAATCATAATAAATAAAATAAGTTCATCAATGTTTTCCAGTGTGCTGGGACTGTCGGGTTTCACAGTGGGCTATTTCTGTCTCTGAAGCACATGGAAAGCTCAACCAATGCTTATCTAAGAAAGACTGTTGGCAAATCAGGGGTTTTATTATGTGAATGTAAAGGCAGATATATACTTGAGACTCAAGAGACGTAAGTGCGTTCCTAAAATCTAGCTTTACTTGCTAAATATGCTGAGCGAAATCGCAACCAGATTATTTAAAAAGAGCTTTTAAATAAACATTTAACATCTATACACCCCAAGATTCTACCATACAAATGAAATAAAAATGTTGAATCTCACAGAAAACCCTTATCCTTACAATCTAAAACCGAAATGGAGGACTTCTCAAAGTACGATTCTTGTGACTCCCCTTTCAAGAGAGGCATACCTAAAAGGTTATTGATTTGGTTTTGAAGGACATTGTGTTTATTACTGAGGAAGCCATTGCTGGGTACAAGTGTGAGAGATTAATGATGCCTTTGTGAGTGTCCATGCTGTGGTATGGAACCGGTGGGGCAACTGTCAATCTATATGATAATACATTCCCAAACTTCATAAAGTCAGTGATGTGAAAAAGCATTGATTTCTTTGTGAGCTAAACAGAATGTGTCAGAGAGAAAGAGCGAAAAGTTGACTGAAGTTAACACTCCAGCCTGCAGAGCTCCCGCACCTTACGTTTGTTGCTTAGAGAATTTGTTACATATAAAATATTTTATTTTTATTCTGCTGAAAAATGGGAATAAAACATTTGTTTGTATATAATTCACATATGATACTGAATAATTCTTTAAAAAGGGGAGAAGGAGTATAGTCTACCTATATATTTTAGAATAGCTATCACCTAGTTGAACCGTCTCCAGCTCCACCTTTGGACTTTGTCAAGTCCATTCGTATAACAGAGCTACGAGGTGTAGCTAAGCACAGTTTTCTTTATGAAATTTTGATTGCATTATAACAGCATGATAGGAAAGGAAATCAAGACACTTACTTAAGAGTTCATTTCCTATCACTATGCAGGAACTCACATGCACTCTCCCAAAGTGAAAAACGTTCAAATACCCTGCTTCTGATAATACTGGATAAAAAAGACCTATTCCTAGTCTGCCAAATATATGATTCTAAAAATTTCCCATTGGTGGCAGTTCTAGGTAAACTCAAGACAAGTTTTTTTTTTTTTTCTATTTTGCTCACATGCTTCAGTGGAAATCTCCCTTTATTTCTTGACTTTTCAAGCATTATGTATAAATAACTTAAGAGGGTGGAGATTCTATAACTATGTGCAAAGAGCATGCTATAGAAGATTCCCTGTATAGATAGGAGAAGGCCAACCATGGTGATTTGCTCAAACGCCTTATTTAAAATGTGCTGAAATTTCTTAGACTACAGTTATTTTGTTTATTTGGCAACCATTGCCTCCATTTCAAAACTACTAACACACACTAGAGTTGAAAAAGGACATCAGTAAATGGGTCCAATGTATGCCTTAATGCAAACTTAAAAGTTATTTCCTACTACATAAGCCTTTTAGAGTGCTGAATGTGTTAAGTGTCAGAATTCTGTTAAAATTTTGAAGGTGTCAAGTGTAGATTTTTCCTTGAGAGCACACCTTGATTAGCTACAGGGATGGAGCTGTAAGACACATCACCTTGTCCCCACTGTAGAATAAATTATTTCAAAATTAAAACTAAATTTAAATGCAACAACGTGACATCTTTTTTAATTGACCAGAATCACCCAAGAAATGATGCATTTCCAACATAGTTGTGGGACGAAATGGTATTTATCTATTCTTTTACACTCACACCAAACTGTCTGGATATTTCTTTTTTTCTTTTTAATGAAAGAAGATACTTAAAGCTGCTCTGGCAGAAGTTTCTGAGATTCTCTACAAACATTCTTAACTGATATATTTGTAAACATTTTAATGGCAATTCTTTGAACAGGCAGTCTATTCACAACACACAGAGCATTTGATGTATTCTTCATAAATCAGCTGTACCTAAAGCAATTTATCTTTTTTAGAAAATGTATTCGACTAAACACAGTTCCGAGTCGCTTGGAAATCCACAAAAAGCACCTTATCTCTTTAATGACTTGTACAGGCTTCCCTGTATTCAATGCTTAACGATCAGAAGCATTTAATTCTCAAAGTTTCATTAAAACTCACCTACAAAGCTGATGGATGGGTCACAGTGATTTGTGATGGAAGATGCGGGAAACCATTAACCTACATAGGTACTGAGAAGGAAGAAAACACAGACGAAAACCCTATTTTGATGACAAGTATCTTCTTATTTGTCATCATTAAACTCCGGAGCATGCGCTCCAAGTTTGATCTCCTAAACGGATATGAGGCATTGCCGCCTGGAAATGAAAGTCGAAGATAAGGAAGGATTCTTCAGAGATCTTCATGAAAAATAAATAAATAAAAACTCAGGCTGCTTTTACTCGGAAGGGGAAATCAATACAGAGACCTAGAAACTTGTGGGGAGACCACATTCTCTAGGTACAGGCCACAGTTTATTAAGCGGCCTCTTTTTTTTTTTTTGTCACAAAATTTATTTGCTAATAAGACCCAGTGACTGAACCTGAATATTGTGTTATCTTCAAAATGTGATTTACCAATTCTCTTCTCTTGCTGTGTGCTTTCGGGGTGTGGTATGTTTTCCCCCAGCTCAGACTAGGGAGACAAGGTCAATTTAAAAGAAAATGAATGGTTCTATTATGCCTGTTTATTGAAAAACAAAAAATCATGAAGGCTCCCAAGCCCACAGTGCACTGCACACAGAGCATTCAGAGGTACGTAACAAGTGGCCTACCGTTGTCCTCATCCGACTTATTCTCATTGTCTGAATCAGTCAACGTAAGAGCTGAGTTCTCGCGACTGGACAGGCCGGAGCTGCGCCTGGATTTTATCCCTCGCCCCCACAATCTGATGGCGTGCTCTGGAGACATCCCTCCCTCGGTGTCAGAGTCAGCGTCAGACCCTGTGCTCAGGGAGTAGCCCTGGTGGAGGATCCCCATGTCCGAACAGTAGCCACTTCGGTGTGGGGAGGGCTCGCAGATACCCAGCTCCGCCAGGGTGAAGTTAGTCCCTAGAGTGAGAGCAACAGAGAGGGGTTACGCTGTGGGGTGCTGCGCAAAGTTGAAGACAGATGTATCGAATTCTAATACACAGACGGAGGTCTTAGGCAACATTCAGTGGATGTTAGGTATTTTGGGAAACATGCAAAAGCAGAGATCAGTTTTATAGCCCAGCAGGCTCAGAGATGTTTAGACATCTGATAGCGTTTTACCCCCAGCAAAAGACTACATTTACAAGAGCTAATACATACATTGATTTGTGCATATTTTATTCTGAAAATTTCGTTTGTATTTAAAACAATCTCAATTTTTGAAGATACTATTGGTTTGTTTTATAGACTAGGAAACTATAGTATTTATATGACACATTCAAGTTCACCCCCTTACAGGGTATCAATATCCAAATCCCATCTCCATGTAGCATTGAAGTCAGTGCATATCATCCACTAATAAATATGAGTCCTGAGTAGAAGGCCTGGGACCTGGGTTTGGTTTTTCTCTGGTCACAGCTTCTTTGAGAACTTGTTTCTTTTCTGCCAGCCCCAGGTAGCTTATCTGTATTTTGGGGGGTTTATCCCAGAAATTCCTCTTCAGAGCCCTATGCACCTAAAAGGATTGCATACCACCCAGCTTGCTTGCTTGTTTTAATAAAAAAAAAAACATTTTATTTTTTATTTTATATATATGAGTGTTATGCCTGCATGTGTGTACGTGCACCCAGTTGGTACAATGCTTGTGGAGGACAGACGAGGGTGTCAGATCCCCAGGAACTGGAGTTACAGGCAGTTGTTAGCTGTCACGTGGGCGCTGGGATTCAAACCTGAGTCTTTTGTAAGAACAGCAGTGCTCTTAACTGCTGAGCCATATCTCCAGCTGGCTTGTTTTAATTAAAAAAAAAAAAGAAAAAAAATATATATCCTTTACTACTGAAACTAAAACCTGAAGAATGAAGAGGTAGGTATTTAAGTCATATCATATAATTTCCACTTGCTAATAAAATCAAAGTCACCAACAGGCTTCACCTATGGAAAAAGAATATATGCTCATGCCAAGAGCACTGAGGTGGGAATATGGGTTGATGAGACATGAAGAGAAGAGAGGTTGATGGAACATCTATCTACGTTACCACCTTTGGGACACTAGACCAGGTGCTTTGCAGACCTTTTCTCATTTAAGTCTTACAACAAGCCAGAAGTTTATTACTACAACTACACATAGGTTAAACACATGGGAATGTGGCAGATCCAGGAACCATTTGCCTCTATTGGCAGCCCTAAGCCTGTATTCTTTCTACGGCATCAAGCAGTCTCAATGAAAAGCCAACCTGGCAACAACTTTCAAAAAATTTTTGCACACTACTAATTGCTGCTATGTTATTTTATGCTTAATAATCAACTTCATGTGAAAAGTATTTTAACATTTCAGAGCAAATTAGATGGAATCACATGGTCCCCTCTATGTACCGATATGTAAATCTGACTTGACTGTTTTTGATTTGATTTGTGTTTTAAGATAGGGTTTCATTGTATAGTTCAGGCTGGCTGTGGACTTATGAGCCTTCTGCCTCAGCCTTCACAGTGCTGAGATCACAAGTCTGGGCCACCATATCTGGGTGGATTTTGTTTGTCTTTAGATGATTTATGACAATGAGGGCAAACACTGTGAAAAAATGTACTTTTGTGCTATGAGTAGAGAAAACCTTATAAATAACACAACGTCAAGGGTTAATCATCTCTAAGTATATTTACTAGGCTATTCCTTGTCATGTATGATTTAAAACTGTAACTTTGATGTTACTCAACACTGAACTAATTCACATACATGATACAATTTTATAGCTTTTATGTTAAAGAACAAACAGTTTTCTGTTAACTTAGTACGACTACTTTGTAACAGAAACATGTACTTTTATAGTGAATTTTTGCTTTCATTTCTTCACTGTACAACGATCTTCACACAAGTATATTTGACTCTATAAAAGAAAGGAAACCCTATTCTATACATAACTGTCTCTGCAGGGTGAGGCTTATTTATTGAAGAGCTGGCCAAAACACAAGGTCCTGTCACAGGGGTGATCATCCACTACCTGTGCGGGCCTTACTGCTGTGTACTCAGGGCCAAAAGTTTCAATTTATTTTCTGGGGAGTTTATCAGCTGCTCTGAAATTCTGTCTGTTGTTCTCCATTCCAATTCACATCCCTGGGGATCACTTCAGCATCCTTGTATGTTAACATGCATGTTTGAGCCTCATAGTCTATGAAAGAGAAAGTTCCAGATTCATGCACATCTGATATTACAGATGTTTCTACTTTTGTTTTCTACTCTATGACATGGTTGTTTAGTGTTAACAGTCTCTCATCTTATCTTTAGAGCTCATGAAATATATTGCTTCATGTTTCCTCGATTAGCCATGTTTCACATTTTTAATAGATTTTGTATTAAGGCAACTTTCTATAGAATTTTCCTTCATTTCATTATTTAGTCTGAGATTCAAAGTACTTTTGGGAAGAAAGAAGCAGTTATTCAAGGAAAGGATGCCTGTTCTCAGAGCAATCCATGGCTTCGTGATCTGAATTCCAGTGATATCAAGCAATCAGAGGCCCAGGATGTGGGAAAAGTGTAAGAAACGTGTGCTCCTTCTTTGATTGTAAAGGATATTCTGAAAACAAATTATTCCTTTTTATGCTACAACACATGAGATCATCATGGGTTAAGAATTATATAAATTTTAAAGTAGCCACAAGTGGTAATAAAGGAAAAGCATATTTTCAGGGTTTCAACTTCAAGCTTATAGGTTCTGAACTAGCTATAGATGTACGCTGTCACTGACAACTGGATGTGTGATATTCTACTCAAAGAAAATCATACCAATACATTCATATTATAGAACTGAAGAGTTTTCTCTAAAAACAAAATTGTTTCCTCAAAAAATTACCTATTAGACTTGTCTTTGAAGAAGACTGTCTCTCCCCCATGCCAGTTTCCATATAATTCCTAGTTTATTATCTTTCTGTTTACCGCAGACACAGAGAATAAGAACTCCATTCTAATTACTTAAGGCAGTTTCTGGGCCAAGTTTCCCTCAGGTTTTTCTGGCTTACCACATGAAGCTGGGGAGCCACACAACATAGGAGAGAGGAAAGACTGGTCTATCATTTATTAAATCATTCAAAAGACAAATATTTATTGTTCCTAGTGCTGTTGTATGCATGGGGATATAACAGGGAGCACTGTAAAAATATAGTTGGGTGACATTTACAGTCTAATCGGGAAAGAGACATTAATCAAAGAATCACATAAAAATGCAATCTATGCAGTAATAAATACTATATAGAAGAAGGGCAGAGATCCATGAAAGGTCATCTAGGATCCAACTCTTAAGAGCGTGTTCCCAGCTTGCCTAGCAGATGGACATCTAGTGTGGGTTGAGTATTAGAGAGATAGGAGCACCTCCACTGAGAAATTACCACATCATGACTCCTTCATTTTGCTCTGACCATACCCAGGCATTCTGCACATTTTTCTTTATAAATTGATGTTAGATAATCATGTTTTAGTTTATCATTCGGCTTTAAACCCCATGCTATGCACTTCTGCTCAAAATGGAAAAGGAGGTGGGGGGATTTTAAAAACTATCAGTTTGTTGTTTTGCACTTACTTTGCTCATTGATGGAAGACTGATTTTGCTCTAATTCATCTTGTGTAATTATGTCTGTATTAAGCTCCATGGCAGCTTTGAATGGAAGAGAGAGACCAGTCATTGTGTGATTCTCCAAGCTAAGATTTTAGGTGGAACACAGTCAAAACTTTATTCCTTCTTTATTGTCTTGTAAAAAGAAGGCAGAGGCACACTTAGGTATCCACGGGACACAGACTCATCCTACATCTACTTCCAGCTTCCCTGACACTGCTGACTAAATGAGATGTATGTGATATGCCAAAGTCATTTCATTACACACACACACACACACACACACACACACACACACACACACAATCTTATGGCTGCTACCATTAAATTGCTCAATGTGGCCCTGCTTGATACAGGCTACAGTCAATATTTTTACAGATGAACAATCCCACAGAATCTATGATATTTACAATCATAAAATTTTAGTAAAATTTAAAATCTAGGGAGAAAAATCTGTCAAAAAAACTCATAGGTGGTCTTCAAGATAAGGGAACACAAGTCCTTAAAATAACTTTCTTAATAAGATTCTGTGGCTTTAAGTTGACTTTTCTTAGATCATAACCTCAGTGCATAACTCAGATTGTCTTCATAACACATTCAGAGAGAAATTAAGTAACAAATATTAAGAGTTGTCTTTTGACCTGTTAATTATATTCAAGGACAAAAGTTGAAGGAAAGATATGTCTATGCATTATGATCGTGCCTTTATTTTCTAAGTTTTCACCAACTTCTCATACTACAAAATAACCTTTAACTAGGAGAAGCACATATGTGGCTAAGTCAGAATTATCATGCCATGGTAATACCAGGGTATACAAATAGCACTGAAAATGTCAGCATCAGAACAGATCTCTACTATGAGGACAAGAACATGGACGTTAACTGTAGTAATGGGGTTGGGGCAACATATAAACCTCCTATTATTATTTCAGTGTTATTACCTAAGACCTAGAAAAAATTTATCTAGGGGAATAGGAGCTGTTGTAACATCAGAATAGTTCTCAGTGACATAAAATTGATCTCCATTCACCTATGTCCATTTACTATGAGTAAATGAGAAATAATTATGAATCTTGGAAAAGTACAGGTTTTCATGGAATCGATAGACATGATGCTAAGAAAACACTGGAATCACAAACAAGGCCTCAGGATCAAAACTAAGCCCAGATAACAACAGCAAATAGAAATGGTATGATTGGTGTGATGATGAGGACTTCAGACACGATCTGACCACTTTTTGGCTCTGTATGTAGATGAAATAGGCCATTTCTCTCTACTGTTCACAATAAGGATAGATTAAACTCCTAGGTGTTACATATA